TTCTTTCCTATGATACATCTGTCGTCCTTATCTCCCCTTCTGCCGGCTCAGTTCCTAGTTTTGAGAAATTGATGTCAGAAATTTTAAGTTTCACTCCCCTCCTTCCGTTTTCCTCTCCTTTTCAACCCCCTCCTTCCAATTTCTTTCTATCTCCCCCCCCCTCTCTCTCTCTCTCTCTCTCTCTCTCTCTCTCTCTCGCTCCATGTCCACTGGTGTCTGTTATGTAACGGATAGGTGCTCCCCTGTCTCCTGCAGGAGTCCCGAGTGAGGAGATAACATACGTCGAGTATCTCGGCTTTTCTCCAGGGATGTTGTACCCCTTTCAGCCCAGGTTAGCTTTGACAAGCAGGATAAGAAGCCGACACCTCAATGATCTAAACTGCGTCGATTTGGGAGTAAATCGTCTTCTTCTTCTGATCCCTTAGTCTTAAATGGCTCTTGTGGCACCAAAGATGATCCAGCGACGAGCTTTCTCCCTCCTTCTCTATTTTCAGCCTTTTCGAAGAGTCACTCAATTGTAAACCGTGTCAATTCCGTTATGTTGTCTTCCCAACTTCTTTTTTATGTCTCCCTTTCTGTTTCTCTTCCTTGTACTTATAATTCTCTTGCTCTCCGTGTTCCTCACAGACGTTAGGCGCCACTTCCAGTGGTTCTGTGCCATCCACCGTCATCCAAACCAGCAACACACTCGTACCCGTGAACCACGCTGTGGACCCAACCATCACACACGATCACACCATGCACCCAGCATCGTCACATCAGCCAGCCGCTTCTGCTTCCGGGGGAGGTGCCTCTGCTGTTCCCGGGGGCGTGGCAACATCCGGTGTCACGCCCTTAGGGATGTCGGAGGTGATCAGCGCTCTGTCTGGGGGTGCGGCCTCGGGGGTTGCAAGGACTTTGGGATCGGCTGGACTCGGTGCCACTTCCGGGGTCGGAGCCGGAGCAGGTCAGGGAATCGATTACTGTCCCGTTGTTCTTGTACTACTGTTTCTTCTTGTTCTTCTTCTTGTTCATCTTGTTCTTGTTCTTGTTCTTGTTCTTGTTCTTCTTCTTCTTCTTCTTCTTCTTCTTCTTCTTCTTCTTCTTCTTCTTCTTTTATTACTATTCCATTGTAATTTCTTTTAATCATAATCATTGAAAAAAGAAAGAAAAACAATGTTCATTAGTTTTAATAATATTCATCATCACCATCAAAGTTCTGTATGGAAGTTGATAAAAAAAAGCTTAAAAATTGATATAGAATCAAGTATTTTGACATTCATGACCCTAAAATTATTACATCATCATCATCAATCATTGTAAACAGCAAAAAATAAAAAAGGGTTGAGACTTGTAGAATTTCCAAATTTTAGGTCTTCATCAGGAGCATACAAGAAAATCATCATCATTATCATCACCTCCATCATCATCATCATCATCATCATCATCATCATCATCATCATCATCATCATCATCATCATCATCATCATCATCATCATCATTTCCCTCTGTTTTGTCCCTGCCCAGACATCACGCTGCCCAACGAGTCAAAGATCAACAAACTGATCCGGAAGATGGCGGTGGACATGCTGACCAACAGGATAGCCCTGTCCAAAGTCGGCTCCGGGCCGCCGGGCTTCAACCCCATCCTCGCAGACGAGCTGGTCAAGTTGTTGGGCTCTCCGTCTTCTACTGGTGCTGCTGCTGGTGGTGCTGCTGGTGGTGGTGCTGGTGGGCTTGCTGGTGGTCTTGCTGATGGTCATGTCATTGCTGCTGATGTCGGTGCGGGTGTAGCAAGCGCTGTTGGTGGTGGCTTTGGTGGTGCTGATGTTGCTGGTGGTCATGTTGTTGCTGCTGCTGATGTTGGCGCTGTTCCTGCCGACGGAGCGGCTCACACTGTTGGCCACACACACGCTGGTGTCGTGCACAGCAGCACTTACACTACGCACAAACCCGTGACCTCAGGGCCTGGTAAGTAGTTTTGGAGCCCTTTACTCTTTTCCCACAT